GCACACAGAGAGAGAGAGAGAGGAAAAATCTTTTTTTTTAAAAGCATCTCTTGTGGGTGCTAGCGGTGTTGATAAAAGCAATCACCGCTAATACCCCAAGGAAGACTCCATCCATTGGTGAGGAGTATCACCCGCTGGAAAACGGGTCCAGCATCCCATATACAGTAACTTTCTGAGGATGTCTGAGTACAGGAATGGGATCTGCCAGCATTGATTACCCTGGGACCCAGGGAATTGACTGAGCAGACCTAATGAGGGGAATCATCTCAGAGTCTCCGACAGGGGTACAGGAGCTGCCTCTTCTGCTCTGCTGCTCAGGAAGCCAAAAGAACCTCTCTTTATCTAGCAGCCCCGAACCCTTTCAGATGTATTGCTGGGGATTTAGGAGAGAGAGGAAAAATCTAAAAATACAATGGACGGAAAAACAAATCGAAATTACAACAAAGAGGGTGTATAAGTGCGTGTCACAGTGCGTGATTGTCTCCGTGAGTGTGTCTATAAGAGAGAGAGAGAAAAAGAGAATATGAGAGAGAGAGAGAGGATGAGAGAGAAAGAGAGAGAGAGAGAGAGAGAAAGACTCATGCGTCTAATGTATAAATCAGGAGTTTGATTAAACGGAAAGAACATCCCGCAGACTGACGGCTTGGGCGGTTTTGGAACAGAAGATCGGGCGACCGGTTTGGGAATACCTAGCGCCAGGACAATAAAAAGAATAAAAAAAATAAAAAAAGGATATGATAAATCCCCACACCGTCAGCAAGGAGCATGGGTTATCTGAGGGGCATTATTGCAAATAAACCCAGGGAAAATAGAAGCGCACTCACAAGAAGAGGTTCAAGAGAGGCCGCGGACTACTTCGAGCTTCCCATCTATCATAAAGGAACTTCTCCCTATGATTAAGTCTGTCTTGAGAGAGGATCCGAAAAGGAATGAGAGAAGAACAGAACGGCATACTAGATCACCAACAAGGATGAACAGTGGGAAGATTGATGAAGATAGACAGTGGGAACACTGATTCCGCGACCGTACACGTTCGTCGTCAGCTCTCTCTCTCTCTCTCTCTCTCTCTCTCTCTCTCTCTCTCTCTCTCTCTCTCTCTCTCTCTCTCTCTC